ACGTATTTGTCGGCCGCATCGGAGGAGTCTTTGGTTTTGGACGTCCTTCGTCGCGGGGCTGTGACAATGCAGCCGACGAATTCGGCCTTCGGAGGACCCGGCCTGRRGTTTTGGACACAGCCAAAGCCTTCAGGACACAAGGGTGAAATTGCGAGTGTTGGGAACGGACCAATGACTCTAGCTTGCCCTGTGTGCTGCTAGTTCCTCATTGCGCATTCAGCAGTGCTGAACAGAAAAGGGTCTCCTTTGGAACAGTTTACTGGCAGACTTGACGTAACATTCAGAACATGTTCAAGCTATTCAAACCACTTTGTCAGTATTCTGAAAATTTTATGTCATAATTACAATTTATATATAAAAAAAAAACAATAAAGTTTTTGGTACGAACTAGTATACCACCCAGATCTAACTAAAATTAAACATTTCGGTATCAAAGACAAGACCACGTCTCGTCCAGCCCTAACACCCCTCATCATGTTGAGAGATTAGTGGCAGCTAGAATATCAAGGGGTAAATTCTTTTGCAATGCATTGCCCATTTTAACATCACTGGTTGTGTGTTAAGTCACTGCAGACTTGTGTGTCTACATACCTGTCCTCTGATGTCTATTATAAGTTGCTGGAATGTTTTCATCCTCTTCATTATTTTATCCTGAATCTGAGAGCTGAAATAATGGATTCGTTCCTGCGACATGAACAAAAGCAAATTATTAAAAAGTATCTGTCTGATTTTACGCTTCAGATACTTTGGTGCCATTATGGTACCTCTACAGCAGTTAAACTATCCAAACAGCCACTGGCTCTCAGCATTAGCCTCTGATAAGCTTTTCCAAGAGACAAACTTCCAAGAATTTCAGACTCGCTGCAGGCCTGTCTTCGCTGCACATCCATCCTCAAACTGTGATTGGCTGCTGCACACACCYCTAACGTGAGATCCTCACAGAGGTCTGGACCTGCACAGACATCTTCTTATTTATGTACAGTCTTAATATTTGTGGCATTATTGTAATCAATGCTGAGGATTACTCTGTCTGTACCGTTCATGTATCCTGCCGTCGTCTCAAGACACAGTCCCTCCAGCGTCCCATTCAGCCAAATCTTCTCTTTGCGGTCCAGTGTGGCCTGAACTTGAAGACCTGACACATGAGGCCAAAACAGGGCATGGCCCCCCAGCTCCAGGCTCAAATTATCTACTCTCCACTGGGAAGGATAAACAAAGTGGAATTATAATTACCACAATAAATAAATAAATAAATAAATAAATAAATAAATAAATAAATAAATAAATAAATAAATAAATAAATCTACAGATTTAATTTGTGCTCATAGAACATGAATATAAAACTTTTTTTGTTTTTCTTTGTAGTGCATGATTTACCAGCTGCACTTTGTGATGATTTTAACCATGAGCCCTAAAACATATTCTGCACTTTTATAGTGGTTTGACAAACAGTTTGAAGGACAGTTGGAAAATTACAGGGAGAACTAACTCTTCTGAGATAAAAAAAAAAAGAGTTTCTTTCTCTCAAGAATCCATTAGAAAGTTACCAAATGTATCATACAAATACCAATGTATGAAATATCAAAAATACATTTGTTACTGTAAAGACAAAACAGTCTTTGAAAACTGAAGCTTTATTTCCAGCTTTAAACTACATCTCCAATAATGCATGTGAATTATTTTACCCACAAAATGACAACATCCCACCACTAGGTGGAGCTGCTCAGAGTTCAAAATTCTTCGTGAAAAGAATCTCCATTTTGCTGCATTTTTACAGGCTACTTTTGCTGTGGCCCACCAGTTGCAGTGAGAAGTGGGAATTTCCCACTTACAAGCTAAACTAGAATGCCCCTCTAGTGGGAATTTCCTATCAGAAAGTTGGAGAGTTCGGAATTCAAGATGCCAGCTCACCATTAAACAGTGAGTAAAACTCTCCTATTTTTACTTTAATAGTATTTCTATATTATTTATTCCACATTTACTCAGTCGTAGATGCTGTACTTTTCAGTGTTTATAAAAACTCTGCTTCTATGCAGAAAATGTTTTAGTGGTGCTCAGCCGTAGCAGTGAGATGAGAAATGTGACATTTACCGTTCAAAGTAAAAATGTGGAAGTTAATTACAACTGGCCCTTTGAGGGCCACCATAAAGAACGCAGTGTGCTGCATCCAAACTGCCAAAATCAGATCTGATTGTTTCAGTTTCAAGACGAAAATTGCATCATTTTGTTTGCATCGTCGACATTCTGGCACCTTCTTGTCGCAGCCCACTGGCCAAAAGGGCTCAGACGCTGCTGCTGATTGTTCTACCCAAAAGCATACATTTATAAAGATAGTCAAACAGCCAGAAACTCATGGGTGGAGACAAAACAGATGTTATGCACGGACAAATATGTCTAATAAAAACTGTGGAGCTTTAACCGAGACAGATYTGTGCACAAATAACGTCAGGTGGCGGGTCATTTCATTTCTGCATTGTAGACTCCAGTGGGAAGAAACCCCTCCCGTGCAGTGACATATACTGCAGCGGTATCGCGTTACATTTGTGCCATCGGCTTGTGTGTGCAGTAACACTGATTTGAGAGCAGATATCAATATGAACAAACAATAATTTGAACGGTGTGCACTCAAATAACACACGCTCACGCAGCTCCCTCCCTGCTTGTGCTCGACTCCTTCCCTCCATCCTCTCAACTTTGTCTGCTCGCGCGGTTCCCTCCCTCCTCTCAACCTCCCCTCCACTCGCTAGCAGAGCTCTGTGCTCACAACCCAAATGTTATACGTAAATGAACCACAATACCAGCCAATCACAGACAGGCTTTTTTCATCCAATCAAAGCACTTATTGCGAATCTACCAAATCAAGAGACGGAAATGACAAAATCTTAGGTGCAAGGCCCATTAAATCAGCAAAAGATAYTAAGAGATATTTTATATATTTTGTAGCCCAGAATATTTAGTTAAGCATACAAATGTGCTTACTGCCATTGTGTATTTTAGGCAATGCATCTCTGTAATCCAGGTTAAAAAAAACACAAGTTTAACTTAACTTTTAAAATTATTATTATTATTATTTTTATTAGGCTCTTATAAGCAAAATTTTAAATTACATTAAGATAAATTACTGTTGGTTTTGATATTATTTATAGGCATTCAAATTAATTTATTAATCCCTCTTCATTGCTGATATTCTGTTGTATCAAGAGTACTTAATTTGAATATCTACAAATAATATCAAAACCAACAAGTATCCTAATCCTAATGCATTTTAAAAATATTTTCTAAAATACACAATGACAGTGACCACATTTTTATGCTTAGCTAAACATTGTTGAGCTACAAAATTTAAACATATTATCTTTTGGCAAAAGAGAATATGTTTAAATTTAAATATATTATATTTTGCCAAAAGATGATAATAGTTAAACATGTGGGTTTTTTTTTCTACCTGGATTACAGAGATGCATTGCCTAAAATACATAATGACAGTAAACACATTTTTATGCTTAGCTAAACATTGTTGAGCTACAAAATTTAAACATATTATCTTTTGGCAAAAGAGAATATGTTTAAATTTAAATATATTATATTTTGCCAAAAGATGATAATAGTTAAACATGTGGGTTTTTTTTTCTACCTGGATTACAGAGATGCATTGCCTAAAATACATAATGACAGTAAACATATTTGTAAGCTTAACTATTCTGGGCTACAAAATATATAAACTATATCTTATTATTATCTTTTGCTGATTTAACAGGCCTGCATCTAAAATTTTGTCCTTTCTGTCTCTTGGTTTGGTAGATTTGCAATAAGTGGTTTGATTGGATGAAAAAAGCCTGTCTGTGATTGGCTGGTGACGTGGTTCATTTACATATAACATTTGGGTTGCGAGCACAGAGACAGCTGCGAGCCAGCAGAGGGGAAGGTGAGAGGAGGGGGAGGGAACCGAGCGAGCAGATGCAAAGTTGAGAGGAGGGAGGGAAGGAGCCGCACACAATCAGGAAGAGAGTTGAGCAAGCAGGGAGGAAGCTGTGTGAGCGTGTGTGTTATTTCAATGCACACGGTTCTAATTATTGTTTGTTCATGTTGATATCTGCTCTCAAATCAGTATTACTGCGCACACAAGCCGATGGCACAAATGTAACGCGATAGAGTGGGAGGGTTTTCCCAGGAGCTCAGGAGTGTGTCTCAGGAGCCATGATAGGTGCGTGTGAAAACAAAAGCCGAACAACCACATGACCGTGCATCGTCCGGTTGGCTGCTGAGCGACCATACTGAAGCTTTAACGGTCACGTGGTCTTCAGTGAAAATGAATTTGACACCCCTAATCTAAAAGCTCTTGCGTGGAGAAGGAGCTACAGAGCCAACCATTCACACACACACACGATTTAGAGCAGCTAATTAACCTAACAGTAGCTATGTTTACATGTGCAAATTTTTTTGACCAGACTGAAATGTATTTCAGTTAAATAATCCGAAGGCATCGTTTGTATGGGGATAACCCGATCATGACGAGTGTTTACATGCACCAGGCTTTCATTCAGAATAGAAGCACTGACATGCACAGTTGTTAACTTTCCCTAAAAAAYCAGAAGAATTTCTACTTCTGTGATGAACATAAACAAACAGCTTCTGAGCTCAGAATGAACCTGCAACAGGTTTTGATGATGGTGGAGACGTTACTGCACTCCTTGGTTGAGCTACAGGTGATGCACAGATTACTTGCACAGAGTATTTATTTATTTATTTATTTATTTATTTATTTATTTATTTATTTATTTATTTGTTTGTGAAGCAGCACAGGCTGTGTGTCTTCTTTCTTTATTGAATGAGAGAATAGGAGGAAAAGTTCTGTCTGCTGGAAACCGCTGGATGAAAGTCAGCAGACATGTGTATTCAGGTAAGTTTTCCACAATCAGAATATGATGATCAGATTAAGTGTTTACATGCACATTGTTCAGATTATCAATCAGCATAAACCACCTCTTTTATTCCGATTACAAATTCATTCGGATCGAGCTGAATCGGGTCAGAATAACCAGAATGGGGTGTTTACATGACACATTTTTATTTCGAATGGCCGTTTAATCCGATTACTTATGTCCATGTAAACGTAGCTTTTCATGTTTTTGGTTGGTGGAAGGAAACCCATCTATGCTTGGGAAAAACATAAACTCCACAGAAAGGAGAACCAACTGTTCCACCATCCAGCCTCTTTCTTCAACATGTCAGATACATATCAGAAATTATATTTTATTGGCTGAAATCAATTGTTTTGTGATTTCATAACAAGCAACATCAAACATTGAAAATACAAAAAAAACCTTTTGAATCAGGTGAAAGATATTTCTTGGCCAATGGTCGCCTTTGCAAAAGAGATCTGTGATCTCAATGGGATTTGCTTTGTTAAATAAAGGTTAATAATGTGCACATGTTAAAACAAATATCAGGACTGATATAGAATTTCAGCAGTGGATATCTACATAAAGCATGACCAGGTAGAACAGCACCGTATCAGGATGGACTTTTACCTCAGAGAGCAGAGCCATGTTGGTCCTCTGAGCTGTGGAGGAGTTAGTGAGGGCYAGTGTGAAGCTGCACTGATGAGGTTGACCCGTCACTGTCAGCTGAGACTGAGTGTAGAACAYCTTCTCTCCTGAGTTTACTCTGTGAGATCCAGACCATGACAGTCTCTGACAGACACACAAAAAATCATCAGCAAATAAACTAAAACAAAGAGAAAATCTTTAAAAACTGTTGGATCATTCAAGTGGAAAAAAAATAAAATAAAAAATAAATAGAATAAAAGTTATTCACTTAACTAATGTTACGCATAACTACAAATACCATTTGAATCATCAGTATCTTACCTGCAGCACACAGGAGTCAGATTTATTAAGATTATGCTGTGTTGTCTGTGTGGACTCACAGGCTGGTGGGGACAAACTCCCAGCTCAACCCTATGTTCCAAATGGTTCCTGAGGTTGGTTTGAACSTTGACCAAGAGTTCATTTGAATGACAAGCTGAAGGGGACGCTCCATCCAGAGCAACATAAACCTGAAGGTTATGCAGCCCACGAGAAAATATCTGGAAAAAACAAAATAAATGACAAACACTTGGAGTGTTTTAAAAACACCAGCTGTAAGTTAAGAACCTCAAAACTCCAGTCAGAAGACTACCTGGTACGAGCTGTTTTGTCTGAAACCTTTGCCGTCCCATGTGATTTCTGCCATCTGTGAGTACAAGTTTCCCCCCGGACTCACTGACACACAGCCCTTAACAGAAGATACGACCATCTGAGCAGACAGACACACAAACATGCAGATTAAGAGCTCAGATACAGCAGTAAAAAAAAATCATGTGATTCTGGACAATTTATACCAGTTTCTCTCTCTTCATAAATACAATATGGGTGTTATGGAAATATTTATTTAACAAAGACAGAAATACATGGTCCAAGAATGAAGGTACTCCATGGAATGATCAGCTGAGTTTTATTGCAACAACAGGAACACAGAGAACAACATCAGACTGTCCCACTGCTCTCTGCTCCTGTCTCTGTGCTTCTGCCTCGTCCCYAGACAGTTGAGAGGTCTCGTATATATATTGTTTAACAAACACTATCATGTCATCTTAGCAAGATTTCATCCTGGGTCAAGGGAAAACAGAGATAAACACAAGTGATATCTAAGAATGATTATTGTTGTTAGCAAATCTTGCTCTGACTTTAATCATTCTATCTGCAGATAAACAGCCTGTCATGAAAACCTAGGTCATTAATGTCCTAAATTACTGGCTTAAACCTAAAAGTGTTAGTTCCACCATATCTCCCCTATCTGATCATTAAATCACCAATTAAATGATCAAAAAAAAAACAACCCTTTAATGTATTAAACAAATTTATGTCAACACAAACCTAAGTATATGTACTTTTCTAAAATCCCAACCCCAGTAATTCAATTTTTATTCCTCCCAGACATAAAAATATTCATCATCAGGGTATTTGCTCATAATTCTCTCTTTCCACCCTTGAAACTGCTTTTCTGTCCCATTTTCTTTATACCATGCTGAATAATGCTGTAGCTTTGTGCATAACTCCAAACGATACTCTGCTCGTTCCACAGGGTCCAATGTCGTCTCCAACCTGTTGTCTTCTTTTGGAAGTAGGCCTTACATCTTCATTCTTAGTTGATGGTTTTGGTGCCTCTGGTGGAGAAGAAGTGGGGCCTTGTCGTTCTCCTGTTGCAGTCTGGAAATCTCCTTTTCCAGATCCTCTGTTCGTGAGGCTGAATCCAGTTGTTCTTCCAGTTCTGCTGCCTGAAGTAACTCCTCTCTCTCTGTGGTTCTGGTTCTGCAGCAGTCTTCTTTTCAGTAACTTGTTTGTTTTCCATCTGTGTCTCAGTTTTCTCCAGCTGTCCTTCAGACGTCAGCTGTTGTGATTTCTCCTGTTTGTTTCCAGCCAGAACTTTGTTCAGATAATACTTAATGTTGGAAGCCAGAAGCGGTGCTCCAGTTTGATTCGGAGTCAGTCCATCAGACTTGAACAGATGTTTTAGTTCCCAAAAGAGATCAAAATTGTCAACAAATCTCACAGAGTAGTCAGCACAGGACTTTTCCAAAAAACCATTAAGAGCAAACAGCCTACTGAATCTTTCAGCCCCTCCTTGGGTTGTAGGGATGGGTCCACTCATCAACTCATCCATGTTGAGATTCTTAACTGCATTCAGCAACTGAATGAAATCCTTTTTTCAGGATTTCTGACTGTCGGTTCATDACTTCATCACTTCCTGTATGAATGATGAGTGTCTTCAGAGCTGAATACTCAGCTGAGATTTCCAGAATCTTCTCTGAGGTCAGATACTTTATCAACAAAACTCAGAACTTTGACTTTTTTCTTGTTCCAGAAGCATCTGATCTCATTCACCATTTTATCTGTGGTGATCAGCATTTCTTGATTCTTGAAAGTCTCTCTTTGGACCTGTTTTTTGCTTTGAGTTGGATCTGGATCTGGTCTCAGGTCCCTCACTGAGATCAGAACACAAACTTTGTTCAGACTCAGTTTCTTCCAGTGGTGTGAATCTATTTTGAAGAAAGACTGCTCTGTCTTCATTTCTCTGGCTGTTATCAGGTGTTTTGATTACAGCCTGTTGCTTTCTTKTCCTTGCTGGWGGAGAAAAAACATTTCTKTGTAACTCTGGCCATTCGATGTCATCTAAGAGCTGAATCCTTCCTGAGAGATTTTTTGGTCTGGCATGAAGAGAGTTCCATACAGCTTCACTCTCAGAAGCAGCTCCCATCTCCTCGTCCTGTGGATCTCTCCTCTCAGCCTTCTCACCCATTTGAATGCATGTTGAGTTCTTCAAAGCATTCATCTCTTCCAGACGATGGATCTTGAGCTCCAACACGTCACCTTTTGGAGAAGATGGCAGAAATCCTCTTTGGAAAAGAAAGGAGGCATCTTGAAGCTTTTCTGTACTCACTCTCAACAGTTGATGTTATAAAATCTTCTCAGGTTCTTCAACAGCAAAATATAAAATCCAATGTTRTCTGCTTATTCAAGATCATCCATCATGGTTGGTGGTCACCAGCGTATTTCTGTTGTTAAAAATTTACCACAAAAAGGTTCTTTTGATCCAGCTGGAGTCACGGTTCTGAGCAGTCCATGCTCACTCGTATCAGTCCACCTGCAACGTGGCCTTGGTCTGTTGATCTCCTAGTGGCCCTGCGACAATGCCTACTGTTATGGAAATATTTATTTAAGAAAGACAGAAATACGTGGTCCAAGAATGAAGGTACTCCGTGGAATAATCAGCTGTTTTATTGCAACAACAAGAACACAGAAAACAACATCAGACTGTCCCACTGCTCTCTGCTCTGTCTCTGTGCTTCTGTTTCGTCCCGAGACAGTTGAGAGGTCTCATATTGTTTAACAAACACTATTATGTCATCTTAGCAAGATTTCATCCTAGGTCAAGGGAAAACACAGAGATAAACACAAGTGATATCTAAGAATGATTATTGTTGTTAGCAAATCTTGTTCTGACTTTAATCATTCTATCTGCAGATAAACAGCCTGTCATGAAAACCTAGGTCATTAAAGGATGTCCTAAATTACTGGCTTAAACCTAAAAGTATTAGTTGCACCYTAATGGGTATGTTTATTTTTGTGTTTATGTATATTTTACATTTTTATTTTTTGTCTGTAAATGTACAGTTGCTCGAAGCCTTGGATTTCCCCCAGGGATTAAGAATGAATGAATGAATGAATCAATCAATCAATCAATCAATCAATCATCAATCAGTTATGCTCTCTTCACTTTCAGCCTTTGAAATGAGGATCTACCAACCTGTTGTGCTGACAGCAGCACACACGCCTTACCCCCCTTGGAGTCAGACTGCAACAGTTCATCCAGGCTGAGGGAGATGTTGACAGGGACTGCACCATCCCACGACACACGGGTCTGCAGAATACACATCCAAGTCAGATCTGAAGGGACACTAGTTACTCTTACAGGAAAGCTGATGGACCAGTAACGTGTAGGATCATGTACCTGGTGTCTGGTGCTTTGCTCCATCTGTGAGCTGTGGGCCTCAGTGTGCAGGGACAGCTGCCTCATTGTGGAGGAGAAAGGATGTTCCAGGACCAGCTTGGTCTCATTTCTCTCCTCAGAGTGCTTCCATGAGCTGAGAGCTCTGATCTACAAGAGAGGAAACCAAAATCAGCATCATTTTGGTATTACACATCATCAGGTAAAGCATTGTTTACTCATTTGTTTATTTCTACAGCTGACAAAACAGACATACAAACATGCAGATGATCTGTGTTTTTGCTGTGTATTATTTACTGTTTTAGGTTTTATACTTCATTTTGTGTTTTTAGATGTTTTGTGTTTAGTTCTGTTCTAGTGTTTCTCTGTCCCTGTTCTTTGTAATCATCAGACTCAGCTGGTGACACTTTTCGCACTATGCCCTTGTACTTATCAYAGTGTTTTGGCCAGACGTGTCATGCACGGTTCAGAAAATTGACCAATGTAGTATGAGCACGCCACCATATTGGAAGGGGTGGGTTGTTGATGTAAACATTTTATCAGGGCTGGATTTTTGTCTGGAATTGTATATAAATATCAGTTTTCATTGGTCAGCTCCTGCCTGTTAGAAACATCATCCACTTACAGGTGTAACTAGGCAACATGTTTTTGCCTGGTATGATAAAACAGTTAGGTCCTTATCTATTTGGACACTGACAAAGTTCTTTACCTGTTTGTTGAAACACATTCAAGTTATAGTTATTTAATGTACATGGACATAAAGTCCAGACTTTCAGCTTTCATTTGAGGGTATCCACATTAAAACCAGATGAAGGGCTTAGGAGTTCTTAACATGTGCCCACCCTGCTTTTACAGGGACCAAAGGTAATTGGACAATTGACTCAAAGACTGTTTCATCATCAGGTGTGGACAGTTCCTTCAATATGTCATTCTCAATTTAGCAGACAAAAGACCATGGCCCATTTTTATAAAACTCCTTAAAATTACTCTTAAGAATGCTGCTCAGAGTGGACTTATGTGTAAAAAAAATTCTTAGTTAAAAGTTGAGAGTAAAAGTCAGTTATCAAGCGTCTCAGTCTTTAAGCGAAGTGAAGGAGTAATCCTTAAGTGTCAGTCTTATGGTGCGTTCACACCAAACGCGATTTCAGCGTCAGGAGCATCAGGTTTACATGCAAAGTCTATGGTGGACGCGCTTCAAGCAGCGTCGGGAAGTGCTGCGGCGCCTCAAGCGCGATTAGAGCAGCGCGATTTGAACGATTTGAATGATCTGAGCGTTCGACGTGCTTGATGCTCCAATCGCTGAAGTTAGAAAATCTGAACTTTTGCAGCTCGACGCACCGCGTCAACCAATCAGAGAGACTCCACTGTGTGACGTAGTGACATATTTCCCGACGGGACAGTTTGCTGAATGATGTCCACTAACCTGAAACAGATGGAGAGGAGCGCTTTAGCTGAAATCGAGTGCCTGCAGTCGGTGTCCTGACAGAGATARCCTCACCAATGCGTGGCAGCGGCTCATCAGACTGGAAAAACAGTCCTGAAAGCGAGCTGTGAGCCTCTACTCTGAATTATCTGGTGAATTAATTATGAATTAATTATCTGATGAACGTGACATGCTCTTGCTCTGTAAATAAAGCAAAGCCACTTCCTCGTCTGACATTAAACAGAGCCCGACAGAGGAGGGAGGGGCGGGGAGGTTCTTGCCGTGCAGCGCTTCAAGAGCTGACCTGCGTCTGGCCTCAAAGTGCACAAGCGTCCAACTTGAAGCGGTGGATGCGATTTTGAAGCTGAAATCGCGTTCGATYTGAACGCAGCATTAGAGCTGATTTGCMACACCTGGCTGTGCTGCAAAGCTGATCCTGGATGACTTCGTTAGAAAAACCCCGACATGGACCAATCACTGCCTCGGATTTRWTGTRCAAGAATATTGTTTGAGTTTCTTGGTGCGTTGCTTGAACTGCTGGGTCAGAGAAATGTCAAGATAAGACTGTAAAAATGCTAATTTCACTTTCAACATGCTAATGTTGTCACCTTGTATTGATTGTCTGTAGAATTACACAAAATGTRCTCATTTGCATCATGAAAACGGACGAAAATTTCACAATTTTTTAAAATCAAAAACTCAGCAGCTTTAAAGTTGTTTTATGTCTCAGAGCCTGAGGTCATGTTGAGCTGCTCCCTTCTCTTCACCACTGTCTGCAGACAACACCGGCTTTACACACAGACACACAACCCGCTCCG